TGTGTTTTGAGCTTAATTTTTGGACTTTTATCTTGCTTACCTTTTAAATGGGGACAGTATGTCATAGGGTCAGGCAATTTCTGTTTCTTTTTCATTTTGACTGTTCTTCTAATACTTTTCTGAATCCTATTTGAGTCACGCTCTCTGCCTTTTTCCTTAACTCCCTCACACCCTGTGCCTGGGTCTGGGATGTCAGCTACTGCGTCATGCCATTACCATTTTTCATCTTCCTGAGAGATCCGTTAATGGTACGGACCCTGAACCATTTTGTTAACAATGTGCAATGGATGCAAGTTACCTGAAATTTTGTTTGATATCATTCAGAGCCTGGAGGCAATAAACACACATTCTGTTTTCATCTCAAAATATGCTTGAGTATTTGTGGTTTGACCCCAAGAGTTAGATATTGGTCTGGGGGTCGGTATAGCTCAATGGCAGAGTCTGGGTTGATTGTGGGGAAGAGACCTGGCTCATTCTGTAGTGCCCTTCCCTCCTGGCCTGCTCTCATTTGATAAGTGTACAGGCTTGTGAATACACAGGGTCTTGTGCAGGTGTAGATAGGGTAACAGCCATTACTGAAGGCTTTGGACTATTCGAATGGGCTTCATGCATTATTACTCTTCTGACTCCAAAAATTTATACTAGGTGGAATTGTCTGTGTTTGAACAGTTAATGTGATAAGGGCCCATTTGTGCTCATCTGGATTGAGCTAAAAAGCAAATTCTGGAATATAAGATTTAGAGCCTTTGATTTTAATATAATAAGTAGTTTTGCTGTTAAGCTAAACTTTCTCTTGTAGCACTCACTATTTTGGATTAAGTAAGAGTCTTGGTAGTTGGAAAATAGAAGGACTAAGAAGCCATGTAATGATATTATTTGAGGGCATAAACTAGATGTAACTTATCTTTGTATCTCCCATGATATATCTGCTACATACATGATGTTTAATGATGTACACAGAGTATCTTCAGGTTTTCTTGGGAATTTTCTTAGGGGCAATTAAGTGTTTTAGTAGTATATTTGCTGCTCCACATGTGCCACCTAGTGGTTACAGGGCTTAACTACAGGTAGCATCTGTGGGTAAAAATTCTGTTTACCCCTGACCTCCCATCCTTTACACATTCCTCCCCCACTGGTGGTGATGGGGTGGTCTCTACCTTCTGGCTTTAGCGCATTTTGTGACCTATTAGCATTGCCTGTATTTTAGGACAAATTCAACAGAAAGACATTGAAAATTGATACCAAACAAAACTATAATGAAAAATGATATTGTAGAAAGTGCTCTAATTTCTAGAAATTTGCTGGCAGTTTGAAAGAATAGAACTTATGTAAGACAAAAAGTCTACAGAGTAGCAGGGTAGCCAAGCTACACTATTTTATTAGTTGAATGGCTGGTTTCTTTTGGACAGAATGTCAGATAGGATTTGTCCCTTTTTAGTGTTAAAATTACAGGTAACAAGGTGCTAGCATCTGGGGTTCTGGGTCCTTCAGTTATCCTGGGCTCACGGTTATTCACGCAGAGCGTCTTTCACTGTTTGCTGCTTGCCCATTTCCGACAGGAGCAGTGTCTGTCACAGTTTGATGCCAGACTCCAGTAGCCTTTTGTCTGTAGTAGCAGCAGTTGAATTGTCCTACTTCAGCTCTGACAGATAGCAAAGACTGATTTACTCTTATCAAATGCAGAGTGACAGTTAAAGATAGGTTCTATTATTATATATAGCTTTATATGTTTATTGAGCCCATTTATGTTTTATGGATGGAATTGCTACTGAAATAATTGCAAGATTCTTATTCATTAAAGATTTTAAAAAGTTACAACAGCAGAATCCAAACCAAATACATAACTGAAACTGATTAATCCCTGTTGTTTCTTTAGCAGATTGAAAGTTAGGATCATGGGCAGTGCCCGTAGCAGTAGTACAGGAGAAGAGAGGACAGGTTGAGCTCTGAAAGCCAGCCTGATTATTTGTGCATCAGAGCTAGTCTTGATCCCTTTCCGTAAAAGTAAATAATGTCTCTACTGCTTGACCCCCTCCCCCAAGTTTCAGGAAACCCTAATTGCAGAGCTATCTACCTGAAGAGGTGTCAGTCTCTTATCACTACTGCATAGGGTTAACTTTGGAGGGTAAGAGAGGAACGACTCCATTCTCATACTTCTTTCTGCTTAGTTGAAAGCAATTTGCGATTTTTCTTTTCTTTTTTTTGGTGGGGGAGGGATAGGGTGCAAGGAGAAGGAGGTGGTTCAGGCCCTGTGTCCCAGGATGTTTGGAGAAGCTGCTTGTCTCTAATGAGAAAGTTCTAACTTCAGAGTTTCATGTTGCCCTGGTGGTCACAGTGAGAAGCCAAGGCTTCTGAGTCTTTGCTGAGTTTGGTTGTTAAAGCTCCTAGGTTTCTTCTGTCTTCTTTGCTCTCCTCTGGAATGCTGCTCCTTTGGCAGCATTGCAGCAGGTGGCTGTTAGGTCCATTTCAGCCCCATAGAAAAAGGGAACCTGTGTTAGCCAAGAGCAGATCATTTCCTTTTAAGTGATGTGAATGTTATGGGTTGCTTCTTGTCATACTGTAATGGTGAAAACTTGCCATGCTTAACTGCTACGAAGTTTGGGACATAGTCTCTGGCTGAGCCGAATATGAGCCCTGTTAAGATTTTAACAGTGTAGAGGAAGGACAGTATGGCTTTATCTATAGCTGTTTTCTATAGGCTTATGTGCCTTATGTTAATCTGTAAAAACGTTCTTTTTTTTTGGCAGAACCGGGGATTGAACTCAGGTCCTTGCGCTTGCCATGCAAGTGATTATTCTACTGAGCCATCTCCCTGCCCCCTAAAAATGTTCTTATATTCTAATTTGAATAGCTTTTTGGAGATAGAAAATTGCATGGGTTTTCTCTCGTGTGTGTTATTCATTTTGTTTATGGCATCTTTTGCTGATACAAATGTAAAGTTCATTGTAAGATTTCCAAGTTGTTTTGTCCCTTTTTGTTATTAAACTTAAATTTGTAGAATTGTCTCTGGTTACTCCGAATCAATTTTGTTTATGGGTAGACGGGACACTTTGATTACTGTGCTTCCCCAGAGACAGTTTATAGTCACCTTCTCATTTTTGTGTATATGAGTTTTACCTTGTGTGTAATTCAGGCTCCCTGAAACATATGACCCTCACCTCTCAGCCTCAGTGTGGGGGGTTCCAGCACGTGCCGCCTGCCCCGCTTGTGGCCAACTTTGCTCTTGCCCTTTAAAGAAGAGGAAGGAAGGGCTGGTGAGATGGCTCAGTGGTCTAAAGCACCTACTTAGAGCAAGTTTAGCGGAGCACAGGGACCGTGGTTTGATCCCCCAGCACCACATGCCAGCCAGCCCCGCCCCCTGGTGGGCTGAGCTGGACACACACACACACACACACACACACACAAATAAATAAAATTAAAAAAAAAAAAGAAGAGGAAGGAAGCATGCGTAAGCCAGACTGCCTGTCTGATGCCTCCTGTCACTATGAATTGTATTCAGTGTGGTTTACAGTTACTTGCAGTTTTTCTTACTACACAGTTGTTATCAAAATTGTTCATTTTTTGCATAATGCTTCGAAATTTTTTTGAATTTAGAAGATATTTGCAAACAGGGATGTCAGATTGAAGTGCTGATATGAGAGATAACAGATGAGGTTTAGTGTGGAACGGAGGGTCCAACTGTTAGACGTATCTTGTGAATATTGAAAAATCCTACAGAGTGGAGGAGAGGAGTTGGTGCTCAGTTGTGGACGTGAAGGTCCTAAGTCCAGGGCAGGCCGCTGCAGAGAAGTATAGAGACACATAGGCGCTGCACTTTCATGCAGGGGTCTGAAGGAATCAGCTACAGAGACAGATGTCACGCGGCTTATTATTCATTACTGACCAAGAGATATAAGATGTTAGTTTTTAAATTTTTAGGTGAGCAAACAGAGATGACTTTGTGTATTGTTGAATAGCCAGTGGATGGGCAAATTGGTACGTGTGATCAGGTCTTTAGGACTCCCAGCTCCTGTATTGATCCATTGTATCTCCCTGTGTGTTAAAATTTGAAGAGTCCAGCGTAAAAGGAATTCTGAGGGCATTTGAGGACTTGCTAGAGGCTCTTAGATCATCAATTCTGTTGCATTCTGTAGTGGTGATGAAGACAGTTACTTAGTTGCAGGCTGGGTATATATTAGGAAGGGTTAGTTGCAGGGGAGGGTAATACAGCTCAGTTACTCCTTGTGCCATTGCATGATGCTTGGTGGTACAAGAAGGGAAATCTGGAGAGGAAAACCTTGTAAGATTTTATTGCATTTGTTGAGGTAGAGCAGGAAGGTGTACAAAACTACATTTGTGGTTAGGGAAGGATTCATCCAAGCATGTGGAATTGTATCAGGAGCATTGGTGATAGATTCTGAAGGCCAGAGTTGGTAGAATATTTTTATTTAAAGAGAAAGATGGTGGTTGAGGTGGAGGTGTTTGAAAATCCTTTCAGCAGTTAGGTTCTTCTGAATTAGGTATATATGAGGGATCTGATTCTAGAGTTCTGTGTGGAGAGTTAGAACAATGTCACAGTGTGTTCTTTTAAAATATTTAACTTTTTATAATGCCTGATAATTAGAATGTATAATGATTTAAAATTAATGGTCAATTTAATTAATGAAGTATGAAGAAACTAAAAAAAATCACATTGAAAGAATTTTTTCCCTGTAAATCCATTAAGTATCATCTTGAAAATAAGAGTCTTAACAGTTACGATGAGAATTAAGCCCTGAGTCACTTGTTCTTAGGTGTGAGGGAGCTCCGGTCATGTTCTGTAGTAGTTTGTCATTTCCAGTACTGAAAGAACAATGCCAATATTATCTTTTCTTGCATTACAGAAAGTCTTTAATAACTTTTCCTGCATTAACAAAGTCTTGTCATTTGTTGATTCTTTTTCTGTTAATACTTTCCAAATAAATTCACCAATAATTAATATGAACACAAATTTTTTTTTAATTTTCTTTTTTATTTTGAAGCAGAAATCAAAGAACATTCTGCAGAAGAGGATGCCGAAGCAGAAGTGGATAGCAGCAAGCAGCCAGTCCCTGTTCTTCAGCAGTCGGCATCTGAGGAATCTGCAAACTCCCTCATCTCTGTTGGTGTAGAAGCCAAAATCAGGTTAGGAAATTGATAGACCTGGATTGGCGGTTGCTAATAGGAAAAAAGGCAGTGAGTTGGCTGTAGGGTTTTATCAGTTGGTAGTAGCTTTAAGTGTGAGGCCTCAACCTGCGTGGAGTGGGGAAGAGCGCGTTGTGCCCTTGGTGGCTGTGGAGCGGTGGACTTGCTAGGAAGTCCTTGGGGTCTCCCAGAATCCCAGACTACAAGCAGGATGCCACTTCTGGCTGAAAAAATAACTGCACTTAGCATAAAATTTGTTTTTATTCTTTTCTGTATATTCTTGTTCCTTCTCTCCATTCTTAAAGGAAACTGGATGTTATACCATTTAAAATCTAGTTCAACTTTAGTCTTGTGTCTGCTCAGTGCTCCTTGAAAGACATGAATAAATCAGTGGAATTACCAATCTAATGAATAATCTGATGAATAAATCAGTGAATATCAATCTGTTGAATAATCTCATCTTCTGAAAGTATGTGCTTTACTTTTGGCACAGTTCTCGTTTTGTCATTTGTGGATTTCTGTGGATACTTCTCGCCTTTGTCATGTTGGCGTACAAGGTATCTGGTATGTGTTTCGCTTTTCTTCACTCCCTGGAAAAGGCTCTTCCAGTCTGACAGCAGTGACATGAATGTCTTTAGAAGACTCACATCTAGACTTCTGTGCTAAGACTTGGACCATCTTGCTGCTTAGTAACTTTCTCTGGATTTGTGGAGGGCGCCTCATCTCCGGGCAGGTGGAACACTGCACCTGGTTCCACTTCTGCCTCTCCCTCAACTTTGTTTCTCTCCCTGATTTCTCCATTTCAACAAATAATGCTTAGTATTATTAGTTGCTTTTACCAAAAAAAAAAAAAAAAAAAAAAAATGGAGTTAATCCTTGCTTTCTTTCTGTCATACCTCATATCTGATCCAATAGATTCTGTAGCTCAGCTTGAGAGAATAACTTGCACAGCTTCCTTCTGTCTTAATTGGCCCACCGTCATGGTTGAAGTTGCTGTTGTCCACTGGAAGCTTTCCAGCTAACTGGTCTTTCTGCTTATTCTCTTTATCTTTCTGCAGTCCAGTTTGTTCTTAGCACAGTTGCAAGAATTATCCTCCAATGTGAAGCAGATTTCCATTCGTACTCTCTTCAGTAGTTGTCTGTTACACTTAAAGTGAATTCTTGTATTTTACCACCAAGTCCCTGGCATTTCAGCAGATCATGAGGTGACTGGGGTATCTCATCATGCTTCCTTGCTTTCAGCTCCTCCCCTCTGACACACGCCATCCTTGTCTGTATGAGACCCTCTGGCTTGCTCTACTCCCTGCCATAGGACTGACCTCCCCAGAGAGTCCTCCTTGGCCATCTCGTTTTATCCTGGTCTTGGAGTGTCATGTCTCTCAGGATTTTTTTTTTTTTTTCTCCGAATGCCTTCAGGGCAGATTTGGCTGCCTTGAGTTGTGGGGATCGAACCACAGCAACCTGAGCCTGACTGCTTTGTGGAAGAGCCACTTAAAGAACTGAGCTAGGGCCAGGGCCCCATCTCTCAGGATTTTAGAAGGAATTTTTTTTTTTTCTTTTCTTTTCTTTCTTTTTTTTTTTTGACTGACTCATGATGCCTTATGGGCAGGTCTGGTAAGGCTTGTGGATCTGGGGATCGAACCACAGTATCCTGCGCCTGATTGCTTTGCTTAAGCAATTAATTAAACAATCGAGCTAATGGGCAGGCCTCCTCTCCCAGGATCATATTCAGCCTAGGAAATCCAGCACTTATGGTCAGTCTAGGTGAAGGGCATACAGATATCTGTTATTATACTGTAGTTTTTTTTGGGAGATTTGAACATTTTTTTAAAAAGTAGTAGATTTGTAGTTTTTGGTCTTGTTATGCTTTTATTTTTAATTTTTCTGTCTGACTTGGTATTTTGTTTTTAGCAGAGTGGGCACTGGAGATTGAACTCTCAGGGCCATCATATGACTGAGTTGCACACCCTGTTTTTTAGGGTTTTTTTGTTTGAGACAGTGTCTTACTAAGTTGCCCATCCTGATTTTGAACTTGAAAAGTTATGAGCTCCCCTAAATAGATTGTATTACAGGTGTGTGCCACCACATCTGGCTAGTTTCAGGTCTTATATATTTTAAGTCTTTAATCTATTCTGCGTGAAATTTTTTAATTCACTGTGAGACAAGGATTCAGTTTCATTCTTCTGCATGTGGCTATCTCATTTTCCCAGCAATATTTATTGAAGAGAGTGCCATTTCTCCATTGCATGTTCCTGCCATCTGTGACAAAAGTCAATTGGTAGTAAATGTGTAGATTTATTTCTGGGGTTTGTGTCCTGTCCCAGTGGTTGATGTGTCCATGTTTATGCCAGTACCCTGTTGGTGGGGTGGGGTGGGGTGGGGTGTGTGTGTGTGTTTGTTTTGTTTATTTTGTTCTTATCCTGGACTTAGGGCCTCATGCTAGGTGACCACTAGTGTGGTGTGGGGTGCAGTGATGTGTTTGTGTGTGTGTATTATTTTTTTCCTATCCTGTACCTAGGGCCTCATGCTAGGAGACTACTTTAAGGCCCCAGCCTTCTTTTTAAAAACTTGAGACAAGATCTCATCAACTTGCTTGGACTACTGTCAAACTTGAAATCCTTCTGCTACATCCTTCCTAGTAACTGGATTACAGACATGCATCATTGCGCTTGCCCTTTCCACACTGTTTTGATTATAATCACTTTATAATATGTTTTGTAGCCAGCAAATTTTTTTTTTTTTAAACTAAAGATAATTTTGGCTGTTTGGGCATCTTTTGTGACTCAGTGATAATTGAAGACTCCCCACCCCCTTTTTCTGTCAAAAATGACATTGGAATTTTGATGAAAATTGCATTGAATCTATATTTAGAGTGTTATGGTCATTTATATTGCTACTGTAATTTATTTTTTTTAAATTTTTTTAAACATTTATTTTGTGTGTGTGTGTGTGTGGCCAGCTCAGCCCATCAGGGGGCGGGGCTGGCTGGCATGTGGTGCTGGGGGATCTAACCGTGGTCCCTGTGCTTTGCTAGGCTTGTTCCAAGTAGGTGCTTTAGACCACTGAGCCATCTCTCCAGCCCTGCTACTGCAATTTATGAATCTGGAATATCTTCCTTTTTTTGTACTTTCTTTAGTTCCTTCATAAATACTTTATAGTTCCAGTATACAGGTCTTTTTATTTCCTTGGTCATTCACATTAAATCTCCCATAAGTGTTTAATTTTACTGTTGATACTATAGGAAACTTTTTTTTTTTTTTTTTTGTTGATGGAATGGGGGTTTGAACTCAGGCCCTTGCGTTTGCCAGGGAAGCTTGTATTCCACTGAGCCATGTCCCCGGCCTACTGTTGGTACTATAAACGAGATTATTTTTATCAAGTTTTGGATAGTTTGTTACATAAAAAAATGCTAATTTTTATTTATATCTTTAAGCTTTGTTGAATTCATTTTTCAGTTCTAACATTTTACACTGATATCTTTGTATCTGCATAAAGTCATCCTGTTAGCTTATAGGGACAGTTTAACTTTTTTTCTTATCTGGGTGCCTTTATTTCTTTCTCTTGTGTATTTATTCTTTAGTACTGTATTGAAATAATGAGATGACCATTTATTATTTTATCATTTGTTGCATGTATAGTGTCTTGTCCTCGTTGTGTATTTTATTTGTATATTTCCTGGTTCTTTCCCCTAAAGATACTTATAAAAATTAGCTTTTGGTTTTGTTCATCTTCTTTTTTGTCTTTATATGTTGTATCATTTTCCTTGATGGTTCTTTTGTTTGTTTATTTATTTATTTTTTATTTTTTTGGCGGAACTGGGGATTGAACTCAGGCCCTTGCACTTGCCAGGGAAGCGCTTATTCCACTGAGCCATATCCCTGGCCCTGATAGTTCTTTTATTGATAATCAGTTTTTTCCTTAATTTTTTTCTCACGTTTAGTGGAAATCTTAGTTCATTAGCATCTAAACTTTTTGATTTATCAATTATATAAATTTAAGTTCTTGTTGATTTACAAACTTGAGCTGCATCTCAAAAAATTTTATATTCTGTATTTTCTTATTAAGAGTAGGAAAATAAAGAAAAGGAATGGGGATAGGAATGAGGAACAGAAGTAGTTCTTGAGAGACAAGTGCGTTGCCCAGTATTTTCATTTTTTTTTGCGGAACTGGGGGTTGAACTCAGGCCCTTGCCCTTGCCAGGCAAGCACTTATCCTACTGAGCCATCTTCCAGGCCCCTAGTATTTTCATTCTTTAAAATCTTTTATTGTATTGGTACATTTTAGATGTACTGTGATGGTAATACAGTACTATGATAATAGTACATAATGATGACATTCACTATAAATTTTCATTATTATCCCATCTCAAGTACTGTGTGATTTGCCTTTTTTTCTTCCTTGTTTTGTTTTTGTTTTTTTTTTTGAGACAAAGTCTCTCCATGCACTTAAGGCTGGCCTTACGTTCACTGTGTAGCCCAGGCTGGTCGTAAACCAGAAATGATCCTCCTGCCTCAGCCTCCCAGGGCTGGGATTACAGCTGTGTGCCACCATGCCTGGCTATGGTTTGCATTTCAACTGGAAGGTTCTTTGCTATATTTTTTCTAGTTTCCAAATTCTTAGAAAATTTTAAGTTGTAGGACTGGGGAGATAGATGGCTTAGTGGAATAAGCACTTTCCTGGCAAGTGTAAGGACCTGAGTTCAATCCCCAGTTCTGTGCTCTCCCACCCCCCAAAAAATGGAAATAAAATTTTAAGTTATTATTGATTTCTATTAATATATGACATTTTCAGACTGTTGTCTGTATAATATGGACATGTACATTTTTGGAATATTTTAATATACTTAAATAGAAAGTGAACTATTGTTTATAGTTACAACTGGAGAGAGTAGCTCAGAGGATTGTAGATTATATTTATGTCCTAATGAAAACTGTTGAGGTTGATGGGGTAAATATTACCAAGGTGAATGTGGAGACTTAGAAGAAGAATTTGGGGGATGTGTGGGCAGTAAACACATTGTGAAGAGAAAATAGATCTAAGAGGAAATGTGCTTTTAATTTTGTCTAAATGTGTTTTTTATTGTGTATGTTTAGGGTTTTAATACTTTAATGTTTTCTTCTTTTAGAGTAATAGATTTTAATTTTTGTAACACCTTTTACAGAAAAATTGAGCAGATAGCACAGTTCCCATTCTCCCCCACAGGTTAATTCTGTGTGTATAAGGCACTGTGACATCAGGTGTTTAAATATAATTGTCTTTCTGTGCTTTATAGATCCAGCATGCAACCTGATGGATATTAAACTTCATCTTCTTCATCTTCTTCCCCACTTAGTTTTATTTTGCGTATTATTTTAAATCAAAACTTCGACTTTAGCATATTTTTAAAGGAGAATTTTTATGTAAACTAGAATTTCTAAATTTGGTATGTTTATTACTTAGAAAACATCATGCCGGATGTGAGATCTAGTTTTAGTATATGTAGCTCAGTGATGGAGCACTGTTTTTGTGTGTGTGGTGCTGGGATTAAACTCAGGGCAGGCTGTGTCTCCAATGCTTCAAAAAAATCTGAAAAAGCTTTAAAAAGATTTTGAGTGAGGGTCTTGCTAAGTCTCCAAGTTTCCCATGCTGGGCTAGAACTTGGGATGCTCCTGCCTCAGCTGTCCAGGTGCACACTGACGTGCCGCGTTGTGTTTGGGCCCTCGCCTGCCATGCAGACAGCCCCGAGTTTGGTCAGCAGCACTGCAGTCTTCCTAAACAGAGAAGCAAGCAGAATGCTGTGGAAAGTAGGCTTGCTAATGTGTAGTTGTTACTGAGCGTAATTGTTCCTGAGGTACAACAGTAGATTATAGAAAGTAACGTTGTAAAAGCCTTGCTTTGCACTGAAGATATAATTGTAAAGCACAAGTGTCCAATTACGTTACTTAAAATACTTGAATAAAGCTGCTTTTTACCTTCTGTCTTCCTCACTTTTCGTTTTTACCAGTGAACAGCTCTGCGCTTTTTGTTACTGTGGGGAAAAAAGTTCCTTAGGACAGGGCGACCTAAAACAGTTCAGAGTAACGCCTGGATTTACCTTGCCGTGGCGAAGCAGCCCGCCTCCTAACAAGGACTGTGACGGTGGCAGCAGCAGTGGGACCTATGCACGCGCGCAGAACTCGGCTCCACGGAGACCAAGAGGACAGAGAAAGTAAGCAGTTCTGAACTTAAGTTGGTGACATGAAACTGCATCTGATTGTTACAAAGTAGGGTTCTTCCTGTTGAAGTGTCTAATGATTTCCAAATTCATGAAGCAGTTCCTAACTCATTAGTATCCTAAAACAGTCCTTGCCTCAAAATTCCTTTTTCTTTTAAAAAATTCATTTCTTTTTGGTACTGAAAATGAATTTGAGACTTTGTGCTTGCTGGGCAGGCACTGTACTACTGAACTACATCCTTGACCCTTATTTGTTAGTTTCAAAAGATTGTTAACTTACTGTACGTTACAAAACTAGTCGACGGTGGGGACCCTTCTTGGGTCCCCCTTCCTTCTCTGTCTAGGACCGGAGCTTTCTTTCCCCCAATAAATATATTCTGCCCTTTAAAAAACAAAACAAAACAAAAAAAAGGACAACAGTTAGGCTTTGAAATAAAATTTTTAAAAATGTAAGCTGAGAGGGAATGCATGGGATTTATAAGTAGAAGATAACCACCACTGAAGTCCTCTCTTTGCATAGTTTTTAATTGTGTGAATATAACATAATAGTAAAACCAGAATTGTTAGAACCATGCATGGTAGTTTATGTCTGTAATCCAAGTGCTAGGGAGGCTAAAGCAGAAAAATCATGAGTTGAAGGCTAGTTTGGTTATAAAGTGAGGACAAGGCCAGGCTGACCTATAACGCAAGACCTTCACTCAAAGAAACAAAACAAACAAACTCAAAACAGACCCCCCAAAAAACCCCAGAATTATTTTCACTATTTACACCTTTCATGTGATACATTTATTTATTTTGTCATGTAATTAAATTCTTAATTCGTTTTGGAGAATATTGAGCTGTCCTGTAAATTCTAATCAGAATACAGTACACTTTTCTCTTTATCCTTTTCTTTCTATAATTATATGCTGAGGATTTCTTTTTTAAAGATAATAGTATTTTTTTAAGGAAATAAAATGTTTGGATAACTGTATGTATATTTATATCCATGAGCACATTGTTACCAAAAGCTCTTGTCTGATAACCTTTTAAAATACTTTGTATAGTGGTGGTTAAAGACCATCTTAATGTATGGTTTTATCTTGTGTAGATTTAAGAGAAGGGAATTTGCTGTTGTTGACAAGGACGTATACAAATTAATTTATTTTGGAAGGCTGCCCTGCCCTGCTCCTTGTGGGTGATGATGTAATCATTCCTGTGCCTGTCTGGCTTGTCTCCAAATTTGAGCGCTAAAGCATTGTTGTGCTGTACTTACTTGATTGGCTGATTGATTTGAACTGCTGCCAATGCCTTGAAGACCTGACTCAGAAAATGAAACTATAACAAGCACCTTTCTAAAGAATTTAAGGTAGAACAATTTAATGAGCCTTAAAGGGCTGTATTTGGAGACACATATTTTTAAGACTCTGCCCTAAGCATATATATAAACCTTACCTGTTATTAGTTGGTTGCTTGTATGTACACCCAAAGTCCAGCAAACTTAAAATGTCCATCAATACTTTGCAAGTTTTATAGACCTGAACAGACTGTGTGTTATTGCTCTACGTTCTACCTTTAATTGTGTCAATTAGGTGAAGTTTTATTCTAGAAAATAGAATTAGGCTTAAGTGAAGTTAATTTTTAGTGAAAAATTTTATGAGCTCAGAAAATTGTATAAAAATCATCTTGGCTTAATGAAAATTGTTGTGTATACTCAGTGCTGTTTATTAAGTAATGATAATAAGCCCATTAGAGAATTACACGTAGCAACCATACAGGGGTAGTCAATTCAGCTTAGTAATACTTTTAAGTATTTATAAAATATGTTAACTAATGAAGTTTAAGCAACTAGTTATTTTTAAAGAAAGTTTTAACAAAGGATGTTTTTACAATGGTTATCTCTTTTGTGTTAAATATAAGACTGTAGTCAAGGGTTTTTTTTGTTTGTTTGTTTTGAGTATATAATTCAGTTGGCTTTTCCTAAGCTGGACTGCTGTCATCTTTAGGTTTGATACTGGTATTTGATATGGTGTATACATACAAACTAGTCTAAAACGTGATTTAAATTTTTGGTTAGATATTGATTGCTGATAGTAATAGACTAATTAGCTGTTCCATTGGTTTTTACTTTGCCCCATCCAATATCAGCGCCTAAAATAATATATTAATATTTATAGATGAGCTCTTGTCAGTTTTTATTTCAATAAAGTAACATTGATTAGTTCTGAAGAATAAATTTTTAATCTAGGACATTATATTTATAGAAAAGAATTTGTTCTCATTCTATTGTGGAAATTTTAAAAAATGAGAATTTAAAGTTAGCATAGCATGCTGAATCTTTTTCTAATGCTCAACCTAAAATAGTGACTGATTTTTATATGGTTTGATATTTAAATGTACTTATTGAAATATGTTAATACTTTTTTTCTTTCAATGATTCCAGGTATAAAAAAGTTTAGTACCCTGGTCATTGTGCTGATTTTCTCTTAATAGGAATCATGATATATATCCAGCATACAGAAGTGCAGTGAGTTATATCTATATTCAATAGTGATTTAATCCAGAATTATCCTTAGATTAAATACTATGATATTAGGAGAAAATATAAGTTTTAGTGGTAGCCATCTATCTGATTTCCCACAATTAGTTTTTCTATAATGGTCTTCTTTGTTTACTGAATGATCTTAAAAATACCTCAAGTATTAGGATTTGAAAGTTGGAAATTTCCCATATATTGTGTTGTTTATCATTCTTTTTTATATTCTAGTTTTAACTGTTACACTAGCTTCGTTAATCCCCTTGCCCTCTGTAGCTATTTGTTTTTCCTCATTCGTGAGGTGCAATCTTAATTGAGACATCTTCAACATCATGCCACCAACCAGCTGTTGAGATTTTGGGGAGGGACCATAAAGAAAAAGACAGCTGACCTGTTCTATTTCCCCTGCTTCCCTTTGTGCACTGTGTTGCAGGTTTTCTTTTTCCTAGGAAAATAATCTTTCTTTATGTAAAATTAATTTCCATCGCTGGTGTGGCAGTTCTCTATTAGGTGAAGGATATTAAATTTTTCTGATCAAGCTGCATTCTATAAGCATTTTAGTAACCAAAGGGAATTGTAATTTTATGTGTTAAAACACGGTTCCTGGCTAGAATATGCATTAATTTTTAAACAATATGTCAGAGTGTAGAACAATAAGTTTGCAACTGTAATTTTAATTCTTTATTGTGGATGTAGAGACACTTAGTGGTTGTGTACAGGAATATGGCATACACATTAGCATTATGCTTCAATCCTAGTAAGAGATGTAAAAGTTCAATCACAGTTTCTGCTTAATTAAGATTGACTTGGCAGTGCATCCATCATACTTAAATATTTATAAAATGAAGTGATTTTCTACTTGGTATCACTTTCAAAGACATTTATCTCGTCACACGTTATTTTCAGAGAACGAGCTCTTCAGCAGAATATGGTGTCTTATGTAAGTGTCAGCACCCAGACAGTCACTGAGGACCAAGCTGGCAGGCTGTGGGACGAGCTCAGTCTGGTTGGCCTTCCAGATGCCATTGATGTCCAAGCCTTATTTGATGCTGCAGGTAGGCCGTTCTTCAGTGACAGTTGCCTCTCTGTGGAGATGTTTAAGTTTTACTTCTTTGCCAACTTAGTAATAAATGCTTTTCATGTAGAAATAATCAGGATTGCATTATCAAATATATCAGTATTAACTATGCCTTTTGGGTAAAACAATTGTCTAGCTATGTTTACCTGTCTTATTTAAAATCTGCACAATGCCAGCACTGAACTGGACATTTCTATAAATGTGTTTACTCAGGTGTAGATAGCAGTACATGGATACCTGAAAATGAGGAAAGAAGAAAATTTAAAGGAATAGGTTTAAACTTTGAAACATAGGGGTTTGGATCCCACTGTTGGGGAACGATTGTTCTTAACCACATGGGTTCCCTTATAGTAACTCACACTCCTGTGTGCTGTTGGAATTCTAAGTAAGTCTCATTGTATGTTTGAAATGCAGTTTGGTGGCTAGTAGCTCAAATGTTATCTCGTGGAGCATTTAAGGACTGTGTGGCTGTTTATGAATCGCATCTGCTCCTGCTTGTGTTGAGGAAGCAGAACCTTATGTGTCATCATTTTCCTTCCATACTTAGCCTTTGTCAAATAAGAGAATGATGATGATTTTTAAATAAAATGACTGCAAAGTAAGTTGTGTTTATTGAAGAAAAGATCTCTACTAGGATAATTCCCAGACTTTTGTGTGCATCAGAGTCCTCAGGAGGGCTGCTTAGAGCTCACTGCCTGACCACATGTGCTTTTCAGTCGAGTCAGCTCAGCTGTGAGAACAGGCTCCTGGACTGGTGGCGGCGTTGCAGGTCCCAGGCTGGGGCTCGGCCTGCGAGGCTGCTTCACGGGGCGAGGGGCAGCGTGCCCATGTGTCCTGCACAGTGGGGACTGGTGTGAAACTGTGTGTACTCCTGTGTTTGCACTCATGGTCGTGGTGTCTACTTATTGGTTCCTTTTCCCTTTTGAGGCACGTGCTGGGCTCATCACCGTTGTGTCGAGTGGTCGCTGGGCGTGTGCCAGGTAGAAGAACCATTATTAGTGAACGTGGATAAAGCTGTTGTCTCAGGGAGCACAGAGGTAAGTTACAAGACACCAGTATTTAAACAACACTTTTATAACTTTTCTTTAGTTAATACAATGTTTACTTGCAAGAGTTACTTACTAAATGATTTCTGTGGTATAAAAATAAAAGTAGGAAATAAATTTTTTATCAAGACTGACATGTACACAGTTGTAATATAGTATACTTAATAAATTTAAACCTTATTTGGTGAAGGTTTAAAATAAGACAGACAAGATTTGATACATTTTTGTCTACAGTATGGAATAACTCTGCTCGATATTTTAAACATTGCTAGGCATGGTGACGCAGGCCTGTATTCCCGGCCCTTGAGAGGCTGAGGGAGGGTGATTGCTGTGACTTCGAGGCCAGCCTACATTACATAGTGAGTTCAAAGCCATCCTGAACTACACAGTGAGACTCTGTCTCAAAACACAAAAATAGTATTTTAAGTACACATTACACAGAAGTGTAGGGCATCAAATTTTGAACAGTATAATACCTAATAGTACATTGCCCAGCTTGAATGTATGGTAGCGCCTTGGTTCACAGATTAAATTCATCCTGACTCTGGGGAATGTGGCTCCATTGCTTTTTACTCAGTGTGGACTTGGCAGATGAGACCAACATGTTGCCTAGCACTTGGTGTTTGTGAACCAAATTGTTTGCAGCAGAAGAATTCACGAACAGAAGTATTAATTGTACTTAGATGATTAGTTGAAGAATGTGATGGGTCAGTAAGAACCATCATTTTTACCTTAGTATTTTTAGGGAAGAAAAATATTTTTAAATTATTTGTGACAGTGGAAGGTACTATAAGGAGGACAGTTAATGAAGGCTAGTACTATCTCTGTAGTGTCAGGCTCGAAATCAAGGAATCAATAAAATTCATATGATACTTAACAAATAGAGAAATTGATGATAAATACATATACAAATATAAGGTTGTTAAGTAGATTTTCTATCTGTTAAAAGGAAGCTTGCTTTCTTTTAACTTTTTAACTCTTGCTTTTTGGAAAAAGGTACCAGTTTTGTTGCTTGAATACTTGTTAAGATTTAAATGTTACGTAGAGATTAAAGCTATTACTTATTCTTGGTGGAGTAATCATATAGAGGCTAGGAAGACCTGTATTCCTTCTCACTGGCTAGGCATTGGGAGTACACAGACCCAAATTAGTTAAATGTTAATGATATACTTGGACTAGTAGTTGCTGAGACTACAAGGAGATCATGGCAGTAGTGTCAACCTTTGCCTGCCCATGAGATTGTCACTCAAAACTTACATACGGTAGGGTGGGTATTTTATTGCTGTTTTTTGTAATTTTGTTTTCTCCATTGCTGAATAGGCATAGGATGGGCCATTAAGCTAGGAACTTTGCCCTTAAGAAAGGAGGTTTTGTCTTACTAACAGAATTTCAAAGGTGTAGTAACACATTCATTAACCAGTCTTTGAGGAAACCTGGTTAACGAATATGTTACACTCATACTTTCTGCTACAGATGCAGACTGGTACTATTCCCCCCACCTTCTGGCACCAGGGAGTAAGTTGAGGACCTTGTGCTTGCCAGGCAGGTACTTATGCCACTGAGTTATCTCCTAATGGTACTAGTATTCTGGAGGGAAGCATGTTGAAATAAAACAAATTACAAACTGAGTAGGGTGGCACTGGCTTATAATCCCAGCACTTTGGGAGGCTGAAGCAAGAAGATTGGTGTGAGTTCGAGGCCAATCTGGGCTATATAGTGAATTGAGGTATATTGCTTAATTTGGAATGTATTGGAAGCAACCTAAGTGCCTATATATGTTGACTATTTAAATAAATTGTAGTACATTCATGCAAGGAATACTGTGTAGTAAAAAACGGTATTTTGAGTCGATGTGGCATGGTTTCCATTATATATTATTAGCAGAACAAAAGTGAAAAGAGATTTATAATTTGCCCTTTATGTAAGAAAAAGATAAGACCATATACATGCATACGCTTAATTGTAAAAAACATAGGAATATTAAACCAGAAACCAAAGGGATTGATTACTGAAGGGAAGTGAGTGAGAAAGATAGAAGGAAGGGAATAAAGTTCCATGTAGCAAGCATGAAATGTGAGGAACTCTTCTCAGGGGAGTTGTTGTTGTTTTTGTATGTGTGTGACTAGTTGTGACTCTTAGTAGAATAAGAATGTTTTGTATACTCTGCAGGTAAGCAGTGTGAGCCAGGGTGTTGGGGATCCAAAAAGGAGAGCAGAGTCCACACTGAAGGGGACTGGAAAGAAAAGAAGTAATCTAAGTAGTGGCAGAAATTGTACTTTTACAGGATAACATAAAGGCAAACAAAAGGACTATATAAATGTGCTCTAATCTGATATGTGGATTTACTTCTAATTGGAGTATTGGTTCACATTTTTAGAAATATATGTATGTATTGTAAATGGACAAGTAAGTAAATCTATTGCACATAATAGGAGTTAGGTCTCTTGTGTTTAAGGAAGTAACTACAAATGAGCGTTATCCATTCTTTCCTTTCCACTTGCTTCTTCTTGTCTGCTTCCATTTTTGTGCAGCATCCATACCCAGGAATCCATAGCAACCTCCTGCTATGTAATGGTGGCTGCCCTTGAACTCAATGTGTAGAACGGGCTGCCCTTGAACTTGCAGTGATCTTCCTGCTTCAGCCTCCTGCGTGCTGAGATTGCAACTTAGCTGGTTATAATTACAAATGTGGATAGACTAAATGATCACGGTGGGATTTGAATAGAATCAGAAGGATATAGTGCTTTGAACGTAAACTAAGAAAAATCTGTTGGAGTCTGTGTTCCTCATTTACCCCCCAGTTTGTTAGAGGAACAGTAAACCTTAGCAGATCTGGACTCTGTACTTGTGCCAGGGATCTGCTGCACTGCCTGAACATTAGCTGTGTGCTGGGACACACGGAACTCAGCATTGAGCCGTAATGGCCATGAAGTACTACTGTGACGTTGTGTGCATATTCATGGGAGGCTCTTCATGGAAGGTCACACCAGCATGGTCTTGAAGAATCCATGAAAAGGCAGCCTTATTTACTCTCCTTCCTATGAAGAGTCACACAGAGTACTTTCTTTCCTTAGCAATGAAAATAAAGCAGTGTGCATGTGATGCCCCAGGAAGCTGAAGGTTGTTTTTGAGGGCAGGTCACCTAATCACTCTTTGTCTCATATGTATGACATTTTCAGACTCAGGAAAGGAATCTCAGGGTAAGCCAGATCATTTCAAGTTCTAGACACTGTGTCTTAGTTACTCTTCTCTCGTTGCTGGGACAAATACCCGACACCCGAAATAAAGGAAGGAAAGATTTATTTAGCTCACAGTTAGTGGAGGTTTCAGTCCCCATTCGGCTGGGTCCAAGGCAGAGCAGTACACAACAGAGGGCAACCTTTCATGGCAGAGGCAAAGAGAGCAAGAGCACCACAAGGAGGAATAGCAGTGGCTCAAGCAGCTAGCTTCTCTTTCCAGATCACGTTGTGATGTAAATTACATGCCCCAGGGCACGTGCAGCATCCATACCCCAAACAGTTGATCACAAATTCCAGAAGCTGCCCCAAGATTGCATGATGCTTTGGGGCAACAACCATACACAAACCATAACACACAGCAAACTATGCTTATCAGTTAGGGAACCCTCCCAAAGCCCAAGTTCCCAGATGCCAGCCTTGTGCTAGCTACCGTGAGAACAGGCCCCTGGGGATTGAACTCAGACCCTTGTACTTGGCAGGGAAGCACTTATTGCAAATAGCGGAAAAATCCAATGTTGAACTCTGAAATACATTTTAATATTAATATATCCTCCATCATCATCATCATCATCATCATCATCATCATCATCATCATCATCATCATCATCATCATCTCTATAAGACCAAGGGCCTATTATGAGGCCCAGGCAGCCTTGAAGTTAGGGCAATACCACCTCAGACTCCGTAATGCTGAGATTACAGGCTTGTACTGCCACGCTTGGCCTAGATACTTTTTTTTTTTTTTTGGCGGAACCAGGGATTGAACTCAGGCTCTTGCGCTTGCCAGGGAAGCGCTTATTCCACTGAGCCATCTCCCTGGCCCTAGATAACTTCTTTTGACTAGCATAAGCTTAAGTGTTACTTCATTCTTGTACTTTTACCAATTTACATCTTTATATTTAACGTGCATTTCTTGCAAGCAATAACCTTGTTTTAAAACTATGCTGACAGTTCTGCCTGTATTAGGGCGTTTCATCTTTTTTTTTTTTTTTAATTTATTTTTTTGTGTGTGTGTGTGTGTGTGTGTGTGGCCAGCTCAGCCCACCAGGGGGCGGGCTGGCTGGCATGTGGTGCTGGGGGATTGAACCGTGGTCCCTGTGCTTTGCTAAGCTTGTTCCAAGTAGGTGCTTTAGACCACTGAGCCATCTCACCAGCCCTAGGGCATTTCATCTTGTACATGTAGTATGATTAAGTTCTTTCTGTGTTTTGATTGTCTCCATCTCATTTCCATCTCCCTGCACTCTTCGTTTGTTTTGATATGGGGAATTCCTGCATTCTTTTACATTGAGTGTTCTGATTTCATTTTACATATTTGTTGTTACCTGTAACTCATTTTCATGGTTGTTTTAGTTTGTATGATATCTTTCAGTTTCCTCAGTCTACTTTCTAATGCTATTGTAGTTTGATCTGTAATAAAAACAAACTTAGATTTTTTTCCCTTTAATTTTAGTGCTGTCGGTATAGATTAAAAAAGAAATTCATATTTATGTTTTCTTTATTGACATAGCTCTAGGTTTTTAAAATCTGGTGTCATGCACCTTCGATGTGAAAGAAATTCTTTAACATTTCTTGCAGTGTAATTCTGCTGCTGATGAATCATTTTGGCATTTGTATTTCTGAAATACTTTATTTTTGCCTTCATATTTGAATGATTTATTTCCTGTTACAGAATTACAGTACCTTACAGAGATGCCAGTCTTCTTACTTATGTTAATGTCTCATGAGGATCAAACTCGGGACCTTGTTCTTGCC